GAACGCTACTTATCGTGCTGGCTCTGTGATGGTATTTGCCATCTAAAATGTGCTGGTTTGACAGGAAGAATTCTGGACGCTATTAATGATGGCAAAGGTCTTCGCTGGTCTTGCTTAAAGTGCAGGTCAACCGAAGTTGATCTCTTTAAGTTGTTTAGGCAAACCAGAAATGGGTTTTCTGAGGTAGGTAGAGAGTTGTCGGTACAGACCGAAAAATTTAAACATTATGAAAATGTATTTAAATCTTTTAAATGCTTAGATACCGTACAATCTATGAAGGACATTCATGTGTCAAATCGTAAGCGTCTTCATAGTCCGCCTAATGAAAGGACCGTTCCACGTCAGAACAATCTTCCGAATGACTTAATTAATCTTTCTTCTCCATGTCCACAGACAACGGAGTTATCTTCCTCAAAAGAACATATATCAAAGTCTGCTTCTAATAATAACGACCCTGCAGTATCTTCCCCGTCCCCCGTTGAAGTTGTGGCACCGCCATCTAATCTTCCAACGCTTACTCTACCCTCAATTAGTAACTCAGTTACTCAACCCCGTCCGCCGGTAATCGAGTCTGATACTAGGAGACTGGTTGTGGTTCCCCCAAAGAAGTCTATATTTGTATCTAGATTTTCGAGGGATACTTCCGAGGACGATATAAAGTTTTACATCTCGTCCAAAGTTAAAACTGTCAACTTAAGTATCAGAAAATTTAATTTTAAATATGAAAGAAATATTTCTTCATTTAAAATAGACGTAAATTTAGAAAATTTTTACATGCTGCATAGTAGTTCTTTTTGGCCCTCCGGAGCTTTCGTTCGTGAATTTGAGTATAGGCCCAACAAAAATAATAGCAAATATTCCCCGTCAGAATACAGAACCAAAAAACTGATTACTAAATCTGCTCTAAGTATTTATTATCAAAACGTAAGAGGCAAAATGATGTTGTTTGCCGCTTATGTTTATTTATTAATTTTTCAATTAAAATGCAGTTCATTCCCTAACAAATACCATATAAAGGCTGTTTGCAGCTCTTGAAAGCTGCAATCTGGTTTAAGAAATTTTGATAGAAAAAAATTTCTTTTTACCTCCCTTTTATTAGCTCGGGATGTAACTATGTAATATTGATGCGATTTAAAGATGCAGCATTCTCAAGTTACATACCTGATGACTGTACGAATGGAAATTATAATAGCGAGGTTTTAGTTTTTTAAACAATAATTTTATCCATTTCTGTGCGTTATTTTATATGAATTCCTCGTTTTTCTTGAGGGCTGGAAACAGACCTAAAAGCAAAGTACTTTTTCAACCCACAGAAATAATGAAATATATTTCTTGTGATTTTTCTTGAGAGCTGCAAACCTAAAATTTAGTAGAACACTGAAAAAATGCATCAAAGTTTCAAACTTTTTTCTCATAAGTGTTTATAGCCCATTCAATTTTAGTGTAATAATTAGCAAGTTTCAAGCGGCTAAAAATTACCGTTGAATATTTGGAGTTGTTTTTGCCGAATGTGTTGCGGAAGCACTTAAAAGAGGAAAATTATAAGTAAAATGGTAAATGGGATACGCCAAATTTACGTTCTTAGACGGGTGGGGTAAATAAGCGGGTAGGTACTTAAGAGAGGGATGGCGGTCCGCGTTGGCGCCACCACCAAAAAACCTAAGACGCTGAACAGAAATATGCGCATTGCATTGAAGGCTAAAAACAGTAATAATTTACCTTTAACTTCCAATAATTCGCTTATAAGTTATTGGCAAAAATACCGTTCGATTTTATGCGTATACTGCAGAAGGGAATTTAACGCAGAACTACACTGTATGCCAAAATAGGAAGCAATTCGTTTAAAATACGTGCTATTTTATGCAAATGTATACCTGTATACATAATTGGAATGTTTCAGTAAAATAAAGCCTGAGAAAATACTACTTAGGGGCTGTCAAAACGCATGTGCTTCCTCGACTTTAGCGCTCAGACGCACAGGGGTTTCGTATTATTTGCAAAAAGAAATAAAATGATACAGACAGTGATTTAGTATTAATTCAAACCAATAGTCATATATATTTGTCAAGATTTCTTTGTATACAATTGAGTCTATTACCTTAATGCGGGAAATATCGATGAGGCTGGTAGCTCCGGTGTTCTTCCTTGATGATTCAAAAGAGAAGTGAAGGAATAAATTAAATCGCGTTAGTTGCGGACCGCCGGACAAACATTGATATAGATGGGGAAAGTTAACGAAAGTTCGTTGTCCGGCGAGAAGGACTTGCTAACGGCCCAAGTCTTCGCGTTAATACGTATGTGTATACATACGTGCGCATGTATAGTTATATACACACGCATGCGTACACAAATACGTATTTGAGTGAGTTAGAGAAAATGGCATTAGGGTGGAGCTTTTTGAAATATTTAGGCTGAAGGCCTAAACATGCCGCCCCCTTGCGGGACGCAACATCTGTGCTTGGGAAACGCTCGAGCTGCCAGCTTCATATGTTCTTACAATTACAAAACAAGTGTGTGAATTCATGTATGTTGTGCTGTTGAGAGCGGCGCCACCATCACCAAGATCTTCGACGAGCGGTTCCATCCTTTTTCCCCTAAAACACCTAGTAAATCATAGAGTGAAAATCATGGGATACAAGCATGGTTATAATTCAATGCACTTTATTTCATTACAAAAAAATTCAAATAATTCACATTTTATTTTGGTTTTTTATATGAGTAAAATTTACGGCCGGCACGCCCCTGACAGCACCCAACCGAAAATAGTGCTTTGCGCAATGAGGGGGCCAAACGACGTCGGTAAAGTTCCGGGCAAGATTAGGTCCGCATACACGTCCGACCCAAGGGCAAGGCGTATCGGTGCTGATGCGAAAAAACTTGGATCCGCAAGCCGAATGTGGATATACGGCGTAGCAACTGAGGGATCCACATTAGTCCTAGGTGAGACATGGTTGTAATGGGGTATAACAAGCGCATGGGTCGCCACCCGCTTGTTCTGCCCATGCTTGCCCCTTATGCATAGGAAACACCCTCGTTGCCCGCCGATATAGGTTTCCTGAAGCCCTAGCTCTTGGGCCAGATCCGCGGACAAGATAGTGTTCGGCGCGCAGGCGTCAATAAGCGCGCGGACCAGATGTAGGCGCCCTCTCGCCTCCACCTTTACAACAGCCGTCGGCGCCACGGATATAGTGGGCTGGAGTGATGGCGTTATTATGGTATTTCGAAAGGCGTGCGGTCGTGATAGCTGGCGAGGCCTAGTCACCAGTCTATCTTCGTGTTGGAATGTTGTGGATTGGCGCAGGCGGAAAGGCCGAGTTCCCGCTCTGCGGCTTTGTCGCCCTTGGTGGCGTGCTCGGTGAACCCGTGTTTCGGATCCAGCCGTACTTCTGCGTTCATGCCGCAGCAGAGGCCGGAAAGACCGTGTTTCCGGTCCCCCGTTAGTAAGCGGGCGGAGAGGCCGAGTCCCCGCTCCGCGCTCAATGACTTCCCCTTCTTCAATCTCTGGACCGGGAGACCTAGTCTCGGTTCCCGAGTCGGACGCGTATAGTGACAGAGTGCCGTCTGCCTCGGCTTCTTCCACTTGCACACTCCATGGTTTGGGGACTGGTTCCTCTGAGTCGCCTTCATTGCCTCGTGCCCTCCATGACTCACATTTTCGTTGGCGCGTTGGCTCATCCTCTAAATGCAGAGTGGAGTGGTGTTTCTCGCCACACCTACGGCATCTTCCCTCGCTTTGACACTCCTTCAGCTGGTGGGTCATGGCAAGGCAGTTTGCGCAATAGCGGCCCAGTAGAGCTTCGCGCAGTCTCTCCTCGGGCGATTTTGCCCGATAAATAGGGCAGAGCCTAATCGGGTGGTGTGCGTCGCATAGGCGGCACGGTAGCGGATAGCGGTGGGCGCGTTGTTCGGCTCGTTTCCTCATAGTGGCGATATGAGACATCGTTACGGCTGAAATAGGGTCAGATATCGTTGCAGTGGATATTATAACGTATATATGTATTGTTGGGTGGCGAGTGGTATGAAAGGCGCAACATTTTGATGAGTGCAAGCGCATAATTCGGTGGGTGTGAACTTGGCATTATATACATTATTTTTCTTATCAAAGAACCACCTAGTGTGAATGTAGCATAATGTTAACTCACGACCTACAAAATTTTGGATGATGAATTGCATGGATGCCATGCATTCTACTGTGCAGGGATGTATGGGCAACGTAGAATTTTACTTGAATTAAATTATACCGAAAAAAATGCCTGTGCGTATGAGTGTGGTAGCATTTATTTATTTTTATTATTTTTCATTTGTGCTTTCATCCGCATATTTTGTCAATAGCAGGTTTTAACATATGTGTGTGTGTACTTGAGTATGTGACGTGAACCTGCTTATCGACATTTGGAGACTTATGTATCTTGGTTTACATCGGCACTCAACAATCCCACTTCCCACCGGCATAAGTTTGCATATCATTGGGCGTCTTGCTGTTAAAAAATAAGGTGCCGCCTAAGAAATACTTTAGCAAGCATAGTATCTTAACATTTTTGTGGTACGTAGTGACTTTGGATTGGTTTCCCATGTAAAATACCCAATTAACATTTTGTGACTTTGCATTGGTTTTACATTTAAAATAACCAATTAACATTTTGTGGTACCCAGTGACTTTGCATTGGTTTTACATTTAAAATCCCCAATTGTATGACAACAGCAATTAAATTTATTGTCTACGAACGGTCACCATGCAAAACTAGCAGCAGCTAGTTAGGGTTAGTGTTAATTGTCCGTAAAGAAACATAGCTATTCTCCAATATGAATGGAGAACGGCGCTAGGTTTATTCCTGATGTGGAACGTAATCACATACATACATACATACAATGCATAAATGTCATTGTCTAAAATTTACTACCACGCGGCCATTACGTAAGTTTGCTGAAACGGTTGGGTGAGTATGCATGCGAAATTGCATGCTTTTGTTCTTATTAATCTTTTTCGATTTTCAGAGATTAGAAGTGCAGCATTCAGCATACTTGTGGAAGTGAAAACTTATTGGAAAGATAACTTGTTACGCATTTTGGCTATTTGAAAGGAAAGGCCACGGCGCATTGAACTGGAGTCAGCTTTCTATCGAGTAACAGAGTATTAACGCGATCATTATCAGCACTATCAAAGAGAATAGCACCTGTTGCAGCGTTCAAATCAATAACTGAACGTATAACAGCCGGCATATTTTGGTCACCTTTATCATTGGACAAAAGCTGAAACGCAGTCTGATTCAAGCCAGCTCCAGCCAAGGCTACAAGGGTAATACTTTCGACATCGAACGTGAAATATGGTAATTTTGTTTTAATGGTTACGGATTGTGTGCCTGTAGGTAGCGTGGTATTCGGTGTGTCCTCAAAATGATATGGTTCTAAGAAGTATTTACTAGGATCCGAACTAACTCGCATCCACCATATTTTACATTCACGTTGCGAATTGAAAAATTTACTAAATCCTTGAGCATGATGAACTAATAAATCCGTTATCAAAAACGTGTGCTGGCGAGCGCCAGAATATACCAAATTACTGTGGGGCTCATGAGCAGCACTTGATTTATCTACTGTAGCAGTTTGTATAGTTTTCAAAATAGCCGGATATTGCTTGGTATCTGAATTACTATAAAAGTATTTGATTTTTTCGTGAAACTGGTAACCAAAATTTAATCTATTCAGGGAACTAGTCATGAAATCATTATCATTGATGTTTATAAAATTAGCTGCAACTTCCTTATCTAATGAATGTGTATTGCGCCAATGGTGCAAAATTTGTTCACTACATTTTACACCGTTTTCTAACAGTTCGGTATTACTTATAACATCCAGTGTCTTTAATTAAAGCATTTAAATAACGAGAGTTTTGCAATTTCTTAACGATTTGCGAAAACGGGCTTCCAATTTATTTCTCATATATGCCTAAGCAATTTTCTATTTCATTTAGAAAAGTCCTTCAGTTACACTTAAAATTAGGTCATACAAACTAAAAATAAGTCTATTAATTATAAAAAAAAACTTTTTTAAAAAGTAAATAACGGTGTATGCATACCCGCATTGTTTCAATTGATATATGCACAAATTGATGCACAATCGAAGTAAAGCATACATATTACCAAAATTGCATGTGAAAAATTAATTACTTTTACGCTAAAGCATCAAGACGTTAAAAAATCAGTCGTTACAAGTTGTTGTAGCTTGAGCATGTGTGGATGGGTTGTAAGCGAGTCCTCTGCTACCACTATGGGTATTAGAATTCGCAGGTGACAATGGCAGACGATCAAGGTCATTAGTTTCCGTAGCGTTTGGACCGGTCGGTATAGGCTCAGTTGTAGTTCTGGTTTGTTGTGTGCGAACACTGAAAAATCGTAAAATTGTGGTTTCACTGTTGCGCCGACTAGATGTTGGTGTTTTTGGATGATGTGGGTTATGATGGCTAGACGTTGAAGGGGAATTATTTGCACGAGTATCTCGCGAGCCACTTGACATGCGTCGTCGTGGAGTCGATGTGACGCGCGGACTAGCCTCAGACTGTCGCAAATTATGTAGTCGTGACGACGATGAGGCTACTGGGGATACGGACACTGCACCATTGCAGTCTTCAATAATTTTGTCGGATAAGGACGCATTACGTGTCGACATTAATTTTTGTTTCCGTATTTTAGTTAACCAATCAACCTTTTCTTTGTACTTTCGTTTGGGTGACATAATACCCAGATGTGGAGCCTCACCGTCAAGTACGTAGTTCGGCAGATTTGATGTAGGTGAAAATATCATCGAAGACAAAGGTGGCTGTTGCGCAGTTGTGGTAGAAGCCGTCGTTGATGTGTTTGGTGGTGAAGAATAATTAATGTTATGGTTTTCAGTTACTGATCTTTCAGAAAGCGGTGTTGGTATGGCTGGGTGTGTGTGCTTCAATAAAACGTATGGTAGCGTGGATCCCACTGTATTTTCTTGGTTACTGTCATTGTTGTGTGCATGTGGTACTCGGCTTGTTATAGGACTCGGGGGTGAAGAAGTAAGCTCTTCAGGTATAACCCTAAGCTGTAAAGCAATGCAGCGCATTTGTGGTGATGTCGACGAATTGGATATATTCGACGAAGGACTAAATAATCGACGACCTCTGGACTCCAAGGGCTTTTGTCGTTTCGCATCTTGGGTGTCACTATCGTCACCACCACCAACAGCGCCTAGCATCTCCAAAAAAGAGCCTTTTCAACTGAGCTAGGTGTGCGTTCGTTCTGATCCATTAGTCGCTTTAGTGATCGGGGTGTATTCTCCAGATCACGCAAGTTATACTTATGTGTTGACCCATGTGTCTTTTTTCCGAATTCACGCTCATACTTAGCATACCCTCGACATAACTCCAAATATTCACCTTCGTTTATATTCTCCGGGCCAATGCGCCAAATTTTGTGAACTGCGTCATCGTTACATGTTACAATGGGCTGATCGTGTGTGGAACCCCATGCAACACAAGTTACCTCCACTGTGTGGCCGTACAATGCCACCAATGGTTCATCTGGATAGTTAAGGTTCCATATATAAGCTTTCTCGTCACTACTTCCACTTAGCAAGTACTTTCCGTCTGGACTAAGGCAGGATTTTATATAGAAAGTACTATTTAAGAGGCCTTTGAATCGTGCTATTGGTTTCGAGGAATATGAGCATAGGTTATAGGCGTAGATTGTATTGTCCATGCAGTTAGCAAAGAGTCGTGAACCCGATTCATCGACTATAAGATTAGTGAAGCCTTTAAATGTACTTGTGCCAGCATAAGGTAGGCTATATTTAGGATGAGGTTCTTTTTTATATGCAGTATAATTTCGCCGTAAGTCCCATACTTTTATAATGCCATCACCTGCACCACATGAAATAAGAGTGTTGGTATCCTGAAAAGCCAATCCTGTAATGCTGCTTGACGTGGCATTAGCCGTCATCTTAGGTGTGCGTGTACGCTTTTTTTGTGACATTGGCGTCCCCGGTCCCCCGACATGTCCGCTATAAATGCAGTTATCTGCTCGTGGTGTTAAATCCACATTTAAGTTTGCACGGGTATCCCAAATTATAATCGCGCCATCTCGTCCACCTGTGGCAAATACAGATGGGTCATGTCTTCGAAAGGCCGCAGTCTTTACGGAACGCGTATGCCCTTCAAAGGACCGTATGTTACGTATTTCGCCGCCTTCATCCACTTGCCATAAGCTAGCCGTGTGGTCACCAGAAGCAGATACGAATTTCATCTGCCCAGGCGCCCATTCCAAATCGAAAACGGCGTTGTAATGACACTGTGGTGCATTGAGTGCTCGCTCTTCGGGTTCTTCGTTTCTTTTTGTGGTATCTTGTAGCGCTATCTTCCCATCTTCATTAGCAATGGCTAAAATATGTCTGAAATTATCACAGTTTGCAAATTTCGCTGCAAATATCGGTGGTTCTGGATTATAGTCTGAACTATAATTAGAAGGCAATATTCCACGCCAGCTGTCTTCTTTGGCCACACAAAGACGTCGTAAAGCAAAATCATATGTGAAGTCATTTGCAATGCCCTGCTGGCGATTGAAAAGCATTTGAATCCTATTCATTTTTCCCAACTAAAAGCTACGTATTTCTTTCCCGTAGCAAATAATCTTTATTAAATAAATGCCAAGTTAAAAATAATTATTAATCGCTACTCCACATCTGCGTATATTGACAAAATTTAGCTGCAGCAGCTGCTATTACATGAATGTTGCTATATACATATATATGTATGCACAGAGGTATGTATATATGCAACAGTATTTGAAA